TTTACTCGGTTTGGCGCGCGGCCGGTTGCGCCGCGTGGTCTTCCACGAAACGGCTCGCGGGATTCAGGCGTTTCGACAATGTTTTCGTCCGAAATCGCGATGCAGCTCGGTGTAATTTGAAAAAGGGCGGTGAGGAGGTGGAGAAGAGCGTAGGGTCGAAAAAAAGAGGCGAAAGGGAGGAAGGAAAAGGGCGAGGAAAAATCAGAGAAGGGGGGTTAAAATCGAGAAAGTCGGTGGGGGGTGAGCGGTACCTGGTGCGCTCGCGCACAACGGGAGCGTACGGGCTGATAGCAGCGTGCGCGCAAAGTCTGTCGCTGGAGAACCGAAGCGGTGCTGCTGGTACGAGTATCGTGTCTCGTACGGGCTGGTGGTCGGTGTGTTGGTATCACGGACATCGAGCGACGTAGCCGTCGAGAGTGGTGGTGGATGTGGAAGTGGTGGTAGCGGAGAACGGTGTTGGTGGTGGTGGTGGCCGAAATGGTGGGGGATGGATGTCGGAGGGTTGCTGAAGTTTCCCTAACGCTCGATGGCGTACCAGTGCGGATCGTGATTCTGTGGGACGTGCAGCGTCGCGACGCTCTGCTTGTTTGTCTCTCTGTCCGTCTATTCCGTACGAAACCGATCGACGACACGCGCACGATGCCCAGGACGATTTGTTGCGTGACGCGTCTGATCGGATCGTAACCGGTTGGGGACACGAATCAAACGATATCGGGATTAAAAAGTTGCGGTGGGTCATCGCGACCGGTCATCCACGTCGCGATATTTGCGTCCGCTCGGTGGACGGCGGCAGGACAGAGGATCTCGCGCGTGTTTCGCGATCTTCGACGCCTGTCCGATCCTTCCCCCCGTAACTTTGCCGTCTTCGCGCCAGAAATTGCACGGAGACCGAAAGGTACGAGATCATGGACGATAATAGCGAGAGAGAATCTCTCTCGTCGAAAGAACGTTGGTGTTTCCTTCGGGACGAGCCATTATTCGCGCACGCTCCGCTGGAAAATACTGCTTCCCTCCTTAAATATGTTCTCCATATGTTCTTGAAAGAGGATCAACGGAGAAAGCGCTGGAAGAAGCTTGCACCATGTCAAATAAAAATTTTGCCCATTTTTCATCTTTTTTTTTTCTTATCGAAAGTATCGTCGATTCTTTTCTCGCCAGCAGTGTGAATCGTACGGGACCTCTCGTTCCCGAAATTAACGATTCGAACGTTTCGCCGCGCGACGTGATTTAATCGGTCGAAGCTGTTGCGCGACAGGCAACCTCCTCCAGCTTGCCATTTCCGATCGGCGAACTCGATTCGACTTCGGTGAGTTTCACTCAACGCGACAAACGCTCGGTAACAGGAATCGAATCGTGCCACTTAGCTCGGCTTTGCTCGATCCGATCGGTCGATCAGTTTTTAGCTCGCGCGAGTTCGTGTCCCGTGACGGACGCGTAAAAGTCTCGATCCCGCGTTCGATAGCTTTTCCTCGTATTCCCCGAGGCACGAGTGAAATTATTAATCGCGTCGTCGGCCATGTTTATTAATCAAACCGGTAATACTTGCCACCGGAACATCAATAATAATACGCGCGCCGTTCACGCGGTGGTGGTTAATCGCGCTAGGTGACCGCGATGCAATATTTCCCGGCGAGATCGGTCAAACGTAGATGATTCAAAAAAGCAGATAAAAAAAGAAGGAAAAAGCAAATGCAAAATTTATGCGTCACCAGTGTCATTTCGGAGCGAAAATTGGACAGTTCGCGCAGAACGATGGCGTAGCTTCGTTCGTTCGTCCCGCGGCGATTCCTCCCGGGAAAAATGTAAACGGCGCACCGAATATCGGTCTCGCGAACCTTGTAAAAAATGTATTCGCGTTTGTCGTTGTCGATCGAGAGAACGATCGGCGCTGAAACAACGACGCCATCGTTGGTCGATTCGCGCGCGTCCCTTGGAACACGACGGCCGAACATTTCCTATTAAACTATAATTGCCGCGCGAGCTCGTCAAAAGTTAAAAGCCTTCGATAGTCGAAGGAGTTATCGAATCGTGTCGACAGTTTCGATATCGCCTCCGACCTTGATCCTCCGCTCTCCGTGTCTCCGGCTCTTTGTCCGTTCCCGTTCACGACCGTGCTCCACCGTTTCTTATCGACTTTTGCCGATGAAATTTCCACGATACGCTTCGACGAAGAAACGTCGGATAAAACCTCGCGATTCGACCGGTTCTTTCGCGACCTTGGCGCTCTCGAACCGCGATTACGTCGAGGTAGCTCGGGACCGGATGGATAAAATTCTCGAATCGCGTAGTTAGCAGTGGTAGAACTGGATCCGCTAGAGTCCCTGGACAGCGTCTCGGGATCGTCAGGTGAGCGTAGGGAGATCGCGAGGAGAGGCTGACCAGGGGACTCATTGTCAGTGGTATTTCCAATTGGCCAGTCGCGATCTGTGCGCGACAGGCAACCTCCTCCAGCTTGCCATTTCCGATCGGCGAACTCGATTCGACTTCGGTGAGTTTCACTCAACGCGACAAACGCTCGGTAACAGGAATCGAATCGTGCCACTTAGCTCGGCTTTGCTCGATCCGATCGGTCGATCAGTTTTTAGCTCGCGCGAGTTCGTGTCCCGTGACGGACGCGTAAAAGTCTCGATCCCGCGTTCGATAGCTTTTCCTCGTATTCCCCGAGGCACGAGTGAAATTATTAATCGCGTCGTCGGCCATGTTTATTAATCAAACCGGTAATACTTGCCACCGGAACATCAATAATAATACGCGCGCCGTTCACGCGGTGGTGGTTAATCGCGCTAGGTGACCGCGATGCAATATTTCCCGGCGAGATCGGTCAAACGTAGATGATTCAAAAAAGCAGATAAAAAAAGAAGGAAAAAGCAAATGCAAAATTTATGCGTCACCAGTGTCATTTCGGAGCGAAAATTGGACAGTTCGCGCAGAACGATGGCGTAGCTTCGTTCGTTCGTCCCGCGGCGATTCCTCCCGGGAAAAATGTAAACGGCGCACCGAATATCGGTCTCGCGAACCTTGTAAAAAATGTATTCGCGTTTGTCGTTGTCGATCGAGAGAACGATCGGCGCTGAAACAACGACGCCATCGTTGGTCGATTCGCGCGCGTCCCTTGGAACACGACGGCCGAACATTTCCTATTAAACTATAATTGCCGCGCGAGCTCGTCAAAAGTTAAAAGCCTTCGATAGTCGAAGGAGTTATCGAATCGTGTCGACAGTTTCGATATCGCCTCCGACCTTGATCCTCCGCTCTCCGTGTCTCCGGCTCTTTGTCCGTTCCCGTTCACGACCGTGCTCCACCGTTTCTTATCGACTTTTGCCGATGAAATTTCCACGATACGCTTCGACGAAGAAACGTCGGATAAAACCTCGCGATTCGACCGGTTCTTTCGCGACCTTGGCGCTCTCGAACCGCGATTACGTCGAGGTAGCTCGGGACCGGATGGATAAAATTCTCGAATCGCGTAGTTAGCAGTGGTAGAACTGGATCCGCTAGAGTCCCTGGACAGCGTCTCGGGATCGTCAGGTGAGCGTAGGGAGATCGCGAGGAGAGGCTGACCAGGGGACTCATTGTCAGTGGTATTTCCAATTGGCCAGTCGCGATCTGTTGCGAGGAAACCGGTCCTCGGACCGGCTCGGCTCCGACTTTGCCCTCTCCTGCTCTTTTTCCCCTCTTCTCGTTCCTCGCGATTCCAGTCGCGAGTTTCTCCCTTCCTTGTCTGCCGCTCGAGCCTCCCTTATCTTCTCCTCGTTTCTCCTTGGCGAACGTTCGCGAGCCAGCTTCTTCGCACCAGCTACTAGTCTCTGTCTGGTTGCATTTCAGTGTTTACGCGGCGGACGTATGGCGGCGCCGATCGAAGGACCAGTGCGCGCAACATCCTGTTCGCAGCATCGACGCTCCGAATCTTGGGCAGGTGTAACGAGCCGCGTTGTCATCGAGTTCGAGCATCGAGGATCCGGAAGAAATTCCGTCGATACGTCGGGAGAATCACCGAAGAAACCGGTGGATCAGTTCGTTGTACACTGAAGAAACGGCAGGATGAACGCAACGGTTCCGATTGTGTTTCACCTTTGACGCGAAACGAAAAGTCGGTCCACGAAAAAGCGGTTGCGCGCGGGTGGAAACTTCTTCGCTTCGTAGAAACTTTTCTACGAGTCGTGAGTGGTCGTAACGCGAACCAGCCTGGGAGATTCTTTTTCTGTTTACGGGAGAAGGATGGCGTGAAACCTCGGCTAACAGTCGAGCGAGCTTTCTTCTTGCCAGTGTTCTCGGACCGTCTGTGAAATCCGCTCGCCTCGTTTCCGACCGGATAAAAGAGGCAAACATCGAATGTTCCGTTCGCTCGTGACTCGCGGCGATCGTCGTTCGGCAACCTTAGAATGTCGTGCACCGTTTTTGCCGTACGTACAACGATGCGTGTGATCGGATAACTGTTTCCTGTACGGTGTGTAATTCGAACGAGAGTGTAGGAAAACAGTGAACCGACAGATTCTCGGCGATAGTTCGGTTAATTCGTCGTCGATCTCGGAGATTCCAGCAAGGGAATCTCGGAGTCCCTGGCTACCCAAAGGGATTTCCAACGGTGGAAGAAGCTTCTGGCGAAGAGGCTCGTTTCCGTGGATCGTTGCAAGGAGGCGATCTCGCAAGAAACCGCTTGAAAGCTTGATTAATTGCGCTCGGTGGCAGTTCGGTGACCGGTGCACGCTAACCATGCATCGCTCGAGCTGCGCCGTTCACTCTAGAAATAGCAGGGCGAACGTCGTTTCCTGTAAAAGAGCTGATTCTCCTTATCTGCTTCCGCCGTGCCGATAAGACATCGAGGTTGAAGATCCGAGAAGGAAGGAAAGAGGTTTATCCAGTGAGACGTAAACGCGAACGTCGACGACGAGTGACCGAACGGGGTTTCGCGACACGAGGGTCGAAGAAGAACACAACAGGGGTAGTGAACGGTGGTCGCGCGGCGAGCGAGGGGTGGGGGAGGGGTGGAGAAGTCGACTCGCAGCGTACGGGCTTACTATTTGATCGGTCGCGATTCGGTAAACACGGAGAGACGCGGTTAGTTATCTCTCGCGCGGTCTCGCCCGTTCGCCGATTGTTGTGACTCCGACAGTTCGCGAACGCGTCGTATCGTGTTCGGAAGTAACCGCGTTCGCTAGTGGTACGAAACTTGGTTGTGTCGCGCGAAATCGTCGACGATTCTCTTCGTATCGTTTGTTCGCGATGCTAGTCGTCCTCGAGGTCTACGTCGCGAGTGAACCACGGGAATATTAGCTGTTCGTCGTTGCGAATCATTACGATTTCGATGATCTGCCTCGGATCGTTTCCCGCCAGACGAAGGGAAGAGAGACGAACCGCCATCGTGAGATCGAATTTCGCGAGGGACAAGGGAAAAGGGACGAACGCGCTATTATCGAGACGATATTGTATCCGTTATCAACGTGGATCGAATTAGATTGCAATCGACGACGGGCCATCCGCAACGGGCCGGGCCAAAGTCGTGAACACCATGGATTGGTGGCTGCGGGGACGGATTATCTACACCTACTTGTTATGGATCGTCTTCAAGGCAGCAGCTAACGGCGGGTTTTTCGGTAAGTACCGTTTTTTATCTCCTTCGATTTTCTTGCATGTCGCGTACGGATAAAAAACGATTTAACCATGTGCTTGGTTACTCCATCTGTCTCTGTCGAGATATTACGTTATGTTTGAATTATCTCGTTCTTTGTCGAATTCGCCGACGCGTATTATACAACGTCGCGCTTTTCCGTTTCGCTGAGAAGATTGTAGCGTTGCATAGAAGCTTTACGAGCCTTTTGTGACACGGTTCGCTCACCAGGTTTTTTAATTAACCTTTACGAATTACACTTTCGCTTCACGCTCGAGAGAAGCAGACTCGAGCAGGAACGAGCACGGTCCCGTCTCGTGTTTCGATATCAGTTCGATTTTCCGAGAAATTTCAAATTTATGTATTTTTTATTTTTTACAATTTACGCTCGATCGATAATCGACGACTACGAACAGCGTTAAAATACTCTGTCCGTGTTTTAGCGCGTTTCTCGCTACATTTGATCGATATTTGAACTTCCTTCTAACAGGTAATTAACAGAACATGTAGTCAATTTGGTACGAGCAATCAGGGCAGAAATTGTTGTACGTCGTTAAGCGTGAATTTTGTGTCAAAGGCGTTCTCGATAACCGGAATGAAATTTCTCGCGACAATGTTGGCCCGCGAACGAAGGTTGAACAAGAAAACGTACGATACAGCGTAAACAGAAGGCGAAGTTGTTGCATGAAACGCGACGTAAAATTACTTTAACCTTTTCGAGTGGCGTGGCACGGGACACAAAAGAGATCCCGTCCGCTAGTCAATGACTCTAGCAATGTGTACACGAGCACGCGGTGAAATTGAACGCGTAGCATTTTTTATGGATTACTTCCGGCACATTCTTCGCGCCACAAAAGAGTGGCATCGTATTGCGCGTGCAATTCACTGTTAGCTGCGGCGAGGCGCCGCCACCAGAAAATAAGGGAACGAAGTTGAACGTAAACAAAGCAGCCTTTTGTCGAATAGTGAAAACGTACTCGAGAACGACGCGGTATTCGCATTTATTTCTATCTTGTGATATTTTCCGCATTTTCCGGATTATAACGAAGTGCTTTTACAAAACTCCGGAAAATTCCTCGAATTCGGCCGATTAAACGGTTCAGAGTCGCGTTTGCAGCCACGAATTTAATGTCCTTTTCTACTCTCGAATCGACGCGGATTAATTTTGCTTAGAGATTATTAAGATTCATCGGTGTTAAGCATCTTGCGGTTTAATTTATCCGACGCGTCACGCTTTCTATTCAGAAAGTTAATCAAACACGGATAAGGTTAAAGCGGCAGCCAAACTTGCAGTCGTTATTAGAATGCTTTGATATTAATTGTGATTGATGATCAGGGAGCCGTTATACGAGCATACATATCCTGAATAAAGGATGACAGTAAGGTGCAGTGTCTTATCTGCGGAAGTTAACCTCGTTCGTGAAACTTTCACACGATTTTGAAATATGCAGAAACCTTTGGCACCGTCGCGTTAGCGAAACTCGATCACGATCATTCCTATAATTCTTTAATCGAAACGCTCGATATCCCGGCTGATTGCCTATTAGGCGAGCTAAAAATATCGGGAACCTTTTCAGGACGCGGCGTTTATTCGATTGCGCGTGTTTGTCAATCCGTAGGCGTCCGTGACCTACGAGATCATATAACCGTCGAGTTAATCGCTAGCTACCGCTCGAAATTAATTAGTAACCGCGGTGAACCGCGATTCGTATGCTTCTAAATGCTTGTCGGTTTCGAGGAGCGAGTCGCCGCAATACGGACAGTTCTTCCGCGAATTATAGCTGCGCGATAAATGACTGGCGAGAAAATTTCTCACCCCCTTAAACTGTCAAGATCTTTCAAGAAAGATCTACTTAAAACGCTGTAGACTTCCGTTATATTGCTACAGTTTGTTATCCACCGTGTAGACCACACAAGATACCATGAATCAATTTGCAATCTGTCATCGATGACAAGCTCCGACTTCCCTCGAGGACATCGTTTAAAGTATCGCTGCCAATCTTTATTATTTTTTCGCGACGAAATTGCTCGACGAGTTCGCTATAGCTTTCCTCGAGAAAATATTTTAAGTACCGGTCTAAATAAATCTCTCTCAAGGATTAATTTTATAATTTCGTTTACAATGTAATCGCGAGACGAGCACAAGACGAGACAGGGTTTTGCGGTAAGTCGATGAAATTTTCAGTGACGGTGCGTAAACGCCGCGTCGTCTCGTTTCCACGAGCGAGAAATTTAAAAGTATGCTTCGATTAAAATACAATTAAGCGGGGATTCATGGGACGGGAAATTGAATTAACATAAATTAGCATCGGGAGCGGCCGTTTGCGCGTGCTAAATTTTATTTAAACGAGAGATGCGGCAGCAACGTATACAGGAATCTGCAATTAATGAACGCGATATGACGCTCTCTTCGTCGTTCCTTCATTATCGATCGGTCTAACAAGGCAACTGTACAATGTTTGGAACACCAATTTGCTCCAAATTTAGCATAATCATAGCTGCCTCCAAAAGTAGTAAGCTTGCAATATCAGACCGAGTATCTCTTCAAAATTTATCTCTAACATTCTTCAATTTGCTGACAGGTTTCCTATTCAAATGTCATCGAAACTCTTCAATTTTATAATTCAATTTCTTCTGTAATCCTAAATTACATTTGGAACTGTCAACTGCGCTGAAATAATAAAGTATTTTCATCGTTTATGCGATGTCACGAGCGTTATCTAATTTGGAGATAAGTCACTCCCGTATTCTTCATTAAACGTTTTAACACCGGGCACGCGAACCGTAACTTCAAAGGATGGTCTTTTACCGCTGCGTCGCGATTTTTCTCCGCTATTTTCATGAATAAAAAATTTTCAATTTACCGTGAAACGGAAGTACGTTCTCCGAAGGTTTAGATGGTGGCCGCGTTTTTACACGATAGTCGAAGTATGAATAGTAAAACGATCGCGCGAAGTTGAAGGAAGTCCCACGCGTTCCACTTGAATCAATAATCGTGAACTCTTCCTCGGATTCATTAATCTTCGTAGAATACGCTTGATCCGGTCAGGTGGATCGGGTTATTAAAATGCGATCACTTTTTGCGGAACAAGACGCGTTTGCTCAGACGAGTCGCGATCAATTGGCAATCGAAGCTGTCGACGACGTAATGTTCGTAAATCTACCGTAATCATTATTGCGTTACCGCGACATGATGCATCGTTGACTATGAATAGTGTTCGTCGCGATTCATAGACCCGTTCTTCGATCATATTCGATTACCCAGTTCGTGACATCCGACTCGTATGTCGTTGTTTGCTGGTGCATTTAGATGTAAAACCCATTTGTTGCATTAACACGATATTTGATTGACAATTTATTATAATTAATTCTGTTCATTGTGCTTGTGAAGAGAAATGCAGTTAGAAAGTCTTCATTTAATTTTCTATTCATGTAGTCTTTTTCAATTTCGTGTTTGTGTATTTTTAAAGAAAAGCATTCTTGAAGTAACCTATCTTTTGTTATCCGCACGTGCAATGTAAGGTAGCATTTTCAAGTTCGAAATATATCTGAAATAGACTATTCTTCGGTATATAAGTAACTTGGTGGTATTGTTGGCAAGGGTATCGACCTCCACTCGCACCACACGTCTGAAACCTTCAGTTAATTTATAAATTCCGATCGATCACCGTTCCTGAATAAAATACTTTCGATAGCTCGTTTTCACGATACGTTGTTTCCAACAAACGAGGAAAAAATACCTTCGCGTGCCGTAAATACGTCTACGTCGTTGTCGAAGAACGCAGCCCCGAATGGGAAATGTACTCGAGGGACTGATAGCATATACGTTCAAATCCGACAATCGATTCGAGCATTATTCGAAGGGTCTAGTTTCAGTTCGTTTCGTTCTCCGACTTGTATAAACGTAGACGGTCTCTTGTAAATACACGTAGCTTCAATTATTCCTCCAAGTAAATAAAGTTAATTAAAAATTCGAATTTTATCATGAAAATAATTGCGTTAATAAATCTCGTACAGATTCAAATTACATTATTATCGAAAATGTAGGAGAAAAATTTAATACGATTTCATGTATATTTGATACATTTCGATGTATTCCTCCGAAGATCAATTTCCTCAATGAACGTTCTAAATCATACACGCATTCGCATATTCGAATGCCGTATACCAACAAATTTTTGCACGCCATATAACTTCTATTCTCACATACATATGGCGTTCACGAGCGCCATAAGGGGTAGTTGGTGCACATTCTTCAATTTGTATCTTTCGACCGACAGTGCACCGCCGACAGCCAGCTATTCTTTCGCGGGAGTTATGGCTCCTTAAGAATTTCGAAGCACGAATATCGACAGCGACCGTGATTTATCGTAGATTAACGAGTAATTCATAGAACTCGATATTGCTCGTTATACTTTGGCTACATTAGCTTGTCTCCATCGATGAGAACGCTAATCGTTATCGATTATGTCGTCGAACAGGAGGACTCGAAACGATACCGTCTCGTGCTGGACGATCGTGTTTTATATATTGTAGTACAAGGTACTTCGAACTGGAGGTACCACTTTTGAGAACGATTCGTTTTTTAATATTTCCTGCTAAGTTTGCGCAGAATTAGGTCATTTTTTTGTGAAAGCACGTTTAAGCGGCCATCCAAGTATCGGTCGAAACCGTAAGACCGTCGAGTAAACTTTACCGTAACTGTGAAAACGACTTGGCAAGAGATTGCAGAGACATTAGGTCTTACTGGCAACACAGTTTATTCTACTTTAGTAGTATCGAATAAGTGAAACGAAGTTGAATACGAAGCGGTCGTTTATCGCTATTATTACAAGTATAAACGATTCTGGAAGAGTCACTTGTGTCTTTACACGATGGCGATAGAGTGTCCGCTATTTTTTCATTCCGCGAAAGGAAACACTAGCTAGGCCATAAAACTCTATCGTTAAATACCATGTAACTCGTTTATAACGATCTTAGCTAATT